AGAGCCAGAAGGTCCCCCCTGAGCCTTCTTTCCTCCAGGCTGAGCCCCCCCAGCTCCCTCAGCTGCTCCTCATAGGACTGACTCTAAAAAGTACTTCTCTCCTCCCAGACATCCCTGTTACTGTCAGAACATGACGTAGTGGACACACATTCCACCCTTGCATCCCTCTGGGACACACAGGTGAGTGCCAGGAGAAGGCTGTGCACCTTCCCCAGGTTTACAACTCACCTGCATTGGCCTTCAGGTCCTCAGGAGTCACCATGACAACAAATCTGATGGCCCTTTCATTCCTGAACATCTCGTAGGACCAGCGCCGGATGGACCTCATGCACTTCACTGCTGCAATGCCATTATTTGCTATCAGCACCTGAGGGGATTAGAAGCTGGGATGAAACAGAGCCTAAATGGCACAAAAGACTAAACAATTATGCAAACAGGTTTTTCCTCTGCAGACTTTTTTGCCCAGTTTGGGGCTGTGCAGTTTCCTTGGCCAGCATCCAGTTCATGGCCCAGCAGTTAATTCAGAAGCCAGCTCTTGATCCACCATAAAATTTTAATGTATCATGTTTTGGTTGGACTAAAGAGCAGAAGGGCACAGAGAAAAGGTAAAACAAGTGGCTAAAACTTCCAATAGCTGATAGAGATCTCGTCCATCAAATTATGTATTTTTAAATATATTTTTTAGCGTTTTTCCAGTCTACCTTTGTTATGTCTGTCTATAAAACCCCCTGGATCAGCAGAAGTGCTCTGGCTAACTCATATTTCTCTTCCTCTCACATTCAGCTAAAAGAATGAAATGTTTATTTATCATATATAAAAGAGAAAGGAAACACAATGATTCCAGGCAGAAGTACAACTTCCAAACTCAGGAATATTAATAATTTGATACCTGCAACCTACAGCCTTAGAGAGAGAGAACTCACAGCTCAGGAGAGGGGAACAAAATGCAATATGCTAAAAGGGGTCAGTAACTTGCCTTTTCAATAACTTTATTTCCTCCAAACCGGGTGACAAATTCTGCTGGAGAAGCAACAGTGAAATCCCTCTGCACATCAACCTTCTTCCTGTCCCGGCCCTGCTTGACAAGGTGCAAACCAGACATGCTGGGCCTGAGTAAATTGTGGGAAACAGAAACAACTCGTCAGTGCAGAAGATATGGGAATATTTTGCAAAGTTCCCCTTGACCACATTCCCCAAGCAGAGGAGCAGAATCCCTCCTTGCCTCCAGACCCCCGTGGCCTGCTCCTCAGTTTTACAGGATGGCTCTTCTTCAGTTCTCTCAAAAATCCAGGTTATCTGGAGAAATTCCGGCTGTGCCAATATATGAATAGGTAAAAATATGTTCACCGTGTGTTGCTGCCCAACACAGAACAACAGTGTTCCACCAGCCTGCTTTCAATCCATCCAGGGAAGCTGGGAAACAACCACAGTGATTTCTGGCTTTGGCAAAACAAGCTACAAAGATCAGCCTCTGCAAGGAAATCCTCTTGGGGAAGAACAGCAGATACATCTCCAGGTGGAAACGAGAGACTCAGACTGGCTATGGAAATCATTTTCCAAGAGTTTTCCACTCTCATCTTCCTCAAAAGCTCTGAGAGACAGAGGACAAATTAATCACGTTACTTCTACTACACACAGAGAAAGCCAGTTTTGTGTCTGCCAAGACCAGCCCCGTGTCCTGCCACCGCCTTTGTGTGGGAATGGCACGGTCACTTCCCGTTCTTCTGCTTCAGCTTCCACAGCAACAACAGGGATAAATCACCCTTTGGCTTTGATTTGGTGAGGTTGGAAAAGCTGAAACTGTGAGAGGAGACACAACAGAAAAGCCAAAACCTGCTCTTCACACCGTGTGTCTGCAGGGAGCAGCATGATGGGGAAATAACGAGACACTTTTTATCTCACAGGCCCTGAAGTGTTACCTCCCAGATCACCCTATGGTTTACTTATCTTTTACTGTATTTCCTGTGCTTTTCCTAACACCCCTGCCACCAGCAGGATCACAGAACCCTTCTGCAGGAATGAGCATTGGGAAGGTGTTCAAAAATCAAACCAGAGCTTTGGAAAGACCCAACAGCACCCAAAAGGTTGGTGCCACTGGAGGGGCGGGCACTGGCACCATCTGTGCCCGGGAGCCACAGGGAGCCCACAGGAACCTCTGGCCTAATCAGCTGCTGAGGAGCTGCTCCCATTGAGCAATTCCACTGGGAAATGGGATAGGATTCAGCAGAAAGCAGCTGGAATGGCTGGGGGAGGGCACGAAGGGGAAACCAACCCCAGGAGAAGTCAAGGCACATACAACATCTTCTACCAACACAGCCACCAAGGCCAGGTAGCCCAAGAGCTGTACCTGGAAGTTCCCTGCTCCAGGTGAGGGCTGGAGCATCCCAGCTGGAATGAGCTGCTGTTAGAGGGGCCTGGCCACATCCTGACAGGAGAGACACGTATTCCCCCTCACATTCCCTCACAAATACATTATGGCCTGTGAAGATTTGTCCATGTGGAACACAGACCCTCCTGAACCCTTCACCAGGAGCACAGTAACACCACAGACCAGCACCTTGATAAAACAATCTGCTGGTGAAAGAAACCCTGACCAAACTGTTCCAGACTGTCCTAGAAGGAAAAACCACCCTCCAGGTAAGGCAAGATCAGTGCCCAGAGCTGACCATAAAGACATGCTTATCTACCACACTCAGGGTGGAGGATCCTTCCCCCCACTCCACCCTCACACACACCATCTCCTAGGGCTGGGACATCCTGCTGTGCACAACCCTGACGTCATGAGGACTTCCAGAACAGCATGGAAGCACATTTGCAGCACTCGAAATTCAAGCTTTCTCTCCCACATGTGAGATGCTCCCACAACAAATGGCTGGTGGAGAGCTTCAAGTTATAGCCTTGGAACGTTGAGCTTGACTGGGACATGCAAACCTGTTCCAAGCACAGTGGAAGGGAATTTAAAGCAATCCATGAAGCCAAGAGTGGGAGAAGTGAAGGTAACAGGAAAACCACAACAAAAGGATGATTTTAGAGCCTGCAGAAAACCAGATGCCTGTCTCCCAGTGACATTCTGGGACACATAAATGGCTTTACTAGGTCAGACCAACTACATCCAGTCTAGTAACTTATCTCAGAGAAGAGCAGGTAGCTGATACTCAGAGAAAGGCAAAGAACAAGCTCTGTGTGCACAAGTTCATCCCCTTGTACTTTCCCTCCTTCCAGTAAGCTGCACTTCCAGACATGGTCACTGAACTTAGAATGTGTTCTTGTGAGCAAAAGTTCACACACTCCTGTCAATCTCAGGAGTCCACAGGCAAGAAAAAGAGGAAATGTGTAGTTATGGTTGAATTTCTACTAAATTTGTGTATTTAGAGGGTCAGAGTCTTCATGGCAAGGAAGGAGCACAGTCTCACAAGAGTGAGACAGGTTTATTCATTGCAGGGTTATTGAGAGCAGTCTCAACAAAAACAGAAAAAAGGTAAAAATCCTGAGGTCAGAATTTCAGAACATGTTTAGATATGAACTGTCCTGCCAACCTGAAATTACTACACACAAAGATACTGCCACAGGTACAGTGTCAACAGAGCCACAGGTTCAGCACCCAGAATAGTGCACAAACACTTGTTTATAAGCAGGTACAGCTCAGTTTAACTTGTGAGCATACCAAAAACATCAAGTTTACTTATTAATAACCACAGGCTGCACATTGTAACCAAAACAGAAGAGATTTTTTTTTTTTTTTTTGCTGGGTAAGATGAGGTAGAAGCTGGGCAGCAAGGAAGAAAACACACTGAGCTCTGAACAAAACAGAGTAAATGCTGAGTTAGTGACTGGCAACCCTATTAATCATCTGGCCACAACTGCAGCGTTCTGTGATGGAGGAATTTCCAAAGTGTTCACCCCTCCTTCAGAATTTACAGGGGTTAGAAGTCGTGCAGCATCTTAAACTTTTCTAACCCAGATTCCCCAGCTGGAATGCATCTGGCATCCCTATTACACACTGCATGCACAGAGCACTGCGAGGTTCCAGAGGACAAAACGAACACCAAAATCTCAGGAAGCATTTCCAGGACAGAGCCCAGCTACGAGGAAACGATCAGCTCAGTAATTCTTACCTCTGCAGCATGTGATACCTCATCTCCTGACTCTGCTCTGCAGAATCCTCCATGCTGCCTCAGCGCAGCAATTAACAGATTTCAGGGCTCGCTTACCACTCGTCTAACGAAGCTGCAGCTATTTTATTGCTGCCAGTTCTGCAGCTCCGAGCCCAGCAGGGAAAAAGCTGCCAAGAGCCTCCTGCCCTCGCGTGGCTTCTCCTTGGAGCAGCGGCACTTCCCCGATTGCTTCAATCCCGTAACCTCTGTCCCCTTTGCTTCCACCAGCCCCGTGTGCCCCTGCCCGTGACGCAGCAGGCACGGAGGGGACCGGCCTCCCTGGCGTCACTCGCGGGGAAGCAGCTGATCAGGAAAGAGAGAAAATGATCTACAGGTTATGTAATGAGGTTTAAACGCGCGGCACCCGCACACGGGGCTGCTCCGGGCCACGCTCCCAAAAGGGGGGTCACGATCCCAAAAGGGGATCACGATCCCAAAAGGGGGGTCATGATCCCAAAAGGGGGGTCACGATCCCAAAAGGGGGGTCACGATCCCAAAAGGGGATCACGATCCCAAAAGGGGGGTCACGATCCCAAAAAGGGGAGTCACGATCCCAAAAAGGGGAGTCACGATCCCAAAAGGGGAGTCACGATCCCAAAAGGGGGGTCACGATCCCAAAAGGGGGGTCACGATCCCAAAAGGGGGGTCATGATCCCAAAAGGGGGGGTCACGATCCCACAGCAGGGGTCACACTCCCAAAATCAGGGGCTGTGCAGCCTCCCACCCTTCTGTCAGCATCCACAAGGACTCTGCTCCAGAGGCAGGGGAGCACCTCCTCAGCAGCAGTTTTGGGGTGGTTTGGGGTGGTTTTGGGAGGATTCAGGGGGGTTTTGGTGTGGTTTGGGGGGGTTGAGATGGTGGGGGGGGATTGGGGGATTTTGGGTGGGTTTTCGGTGGGCTTTGGTGGTGTTTGGGTGGTTTTCTGGTGAGTTTGGGGGATCTTTGGGGGGGGGGTTGAGGGAGTTCTGCGAGGCCAGTCTGCCCCAAGAGTTCGGGCAGCGTGTGTGGGATCTGAGGCTGGGTTTTCAGGAGGGGTGGGGAGGTGGCAGGGAAAGCGGTTTCCAGGGCTGCAGACAGGAATGTCACAGGCACACAGACACGGTGGTGAGGCTGCCAGGAGAGGACACATCACACTGGGCACCAGCCTGGAAGCTGGGAGACCCTGGACATGTCACTTGTGTTTTCTGAGCCTGTTTCCCACCTATAAAACGGAGATGAGATCACTCCAAGTGCTGGGAGAATAAACATCCTCTCAAGCAAAGTGCTACAGCACAGCAGGGTCAAAAAACATCACTGGAGGAAGGGAGAATGTTTACTCAGTATCACAGAATCATGGAATATCCTGAGCTGGAAGGGACCCACAGGGATCACCAAAGTCCAACTCCCAGCCCTGCACAGGAATATCAAGCACAGACAAAGACATAAATTGCAAATTTTGGGGGTAGGGACAAGCAAAGGCAATGACTGCAGGAGTGCCTTGATGATCAAACCTGGACTGAAACGAGGCACAGCAGCTGGAAATTTTTAAATGTCAGGACACTTGGGTCTGTCCTGGTGTAGGGCCACAGCCAGGCAGCACAGCTTTGATCTGGTGCACACACATCCCAAAAGCCTGAGCAAAACACAGCCACTCAGGAGGGAATCACTCAAAAAAGGACCAAACACCCAGGGACAAAGTGTCACATTAACCTGGATGTAACCTTGAGCCCTGAAGGCCAGGACAGGTGACACGGTGAGGAGCAGCAGCAGGGGCACATCCAGGGATGCAGGAGGGCACAGGGACAGCAACACACTGTGGAGTGAGGGCAGCCTCACACTGCAAATAAACCTCACCAGACAGGAGGTGCCAGGGAGAGAACAGAGTTTAACAAACAAAAACATCCCAAAATGACCTTGCTACCCAGGAAGTCAATGCCTCTCACCTGCCAGCCTTTGTTCCTCTGTGAAGAACAGCT